TCGGAGTGGGGAATGATATTTCAAATCCAAGGTCTTAGTACTATTTGTGCCCATGGCTTCCAGGTCTTTTAAATAGGCAAAACTGTTCAATTCAAAGGCACCATATCGGTTCTGCTAGAGACTAGTATTTTATGTTAGGTCATATATTATGGACAGTATATTAATTCAGTTTTCATGACAATTCCAGGTAACAAAACAGCAACAAACCATTTCCTAGGAATGGTTTACACAGCACAAATCAGCTACCTTCATTTGTAACAAGAAGATTTGCTGAATTTTTTGGTGAAAGTCATGAAATGATTTCAAGTGATATGTAGATCCTTTGCCAGTTCACCTCTGTCTTCGGTGGTTCCCAAAGTGTGATCCACAGATATCTGGGTGTCCTGCAGACTAACTTCCAGGGAGTCTGAGAAGTTAAAACTATTTTCATTACAATTCCAGGATCATATTTGCCTTTTGTGTATGACATGACTTTTTAATACGTATGAATCAGCCTGGTGAAATACAAATATATGTAAAGCACTACTGAAATGTGATGGTATCTCAGAAAAAAAGCAATTTTGTGATTGATTGAGTTGCTAATTGAACAAGAAACATTTTAATAAGATTCCATTGTTTCTTGAAAGAAAGACTGACACACACATTGCTGCTTCTCAGACTTGAGTATCTGGCAGATATTTTCTGAAAAATGCATGAAATGAGGCTATCATCCCAATTTAAAGAACGGACAGTATTTATAGCTGTGATATATTCTCAATTTTTAAACAATTAGAATTTCAGAAAATGTGTTTCTGCTATGACAAGCTTATCAACTTCCTGATACTTGGCAAGACTTTTCTAGAGAGATTGTTGATGATATTAACAGATATTCTTTTTTTTATGTTATATATGGAAATATGTCAACATTTGGAAGATATGTATAAGTCAGTGAATCAATATTTTTCAAATGAACAATATAACAGTATTACAGAGTGACACATGAGTAAATGAGTCAATCAAAGTACAAGATAAACTAAAGGATTTTTAATGCCACAGAGTATAAAAAGATCATTAACATGATTTTAATGTCCCCTAGATATTAAACACCTAGCATCTGTGGAATTCTAAAAAAAAAAGTAAACAGTCCCCAGAGAGCTTTCTCTTTAACCTTAATTTTCTCTAGTCCATCTACATGTTAGCAAGGAGTAGCTGACAGACACAGTCAAACTTCAGTGCTTTTTAAATTATTTGACTCAACAGGGTGACCAGCACTTTGATAGGTGCTATGGAAGCCAAAAACCATGGAGTATACCTAGTTTATCAGATGAGTATCTCAGAGGTTATTCATGGCATGAAACATGATATTCAGGTACATAACATAGTTTCAGAGTGCTTAGGGCTGTGTGCAAATCCAAGGGTTCTGTAACATAATTCCCTTCTCTCCCATTCAAAAAGCATAACAGAATACAAGTGATGAGAATAAATTTGTATTTTCTGTAGTTTACTTAAAATGTAGATTAATATACAACTTTATTTATTTTTGAAATACTCAAATCTTTTACCATACTGCAATTGAGAACTATCATAACGTACTGTGAACTTCTTGGGGGAGGAAACGAACCTTTTCTATGCTTGAATCCCTGCACTGGCACTGGGCATGGAACTAGGTAGGCACCCAAAATACTCATTTGACTTGAACATTATTTTCTATTAAGGAATATAAACAATCTGTTCTCCATTAACGTATACCATTACATAAACTTTGTGTAAGTCAATTGTTTGAAATGTAGGGAAATACATATATATATAAAATATATATTATATATATGTATATAACACCTCAGTCATGTACTTTCTCAGTCTATTCTACAAACGATTTTAAGCAGGAATAATATAACTGAACTGGAAGATGAGAACTTTCCAGAATTTTGAGTCTTGAGACCCACCCTTACTGAAGAGAGAACTTTTAATTGTGTATAGACTGGGCTATGGACAGCATTTTGAATGAATGAAGGCTACCTTTCATGTAAAATTCCACTTTGTGGCATTCTAGGTGCATAGGAGACAAGTTAATTAATTGCATGCAGTGGATGCCTTGAATTATTAGGATTTTGTTCTCTCACATAACCCTGGTGGAGAGAGGCTGAAAAAACATCTCTTGTCCAAATGCATTTATGTCTCTAATCTTGCTTCATTTACAGCCATGGCATTTTTTTTTAACCATTTAAATATATGGTATACATTTAGACGTTCAGATGTGTCTGGTCGCACATCTCCTTGTCTGCCTTCCCCCATGGAAAGTAAACTTCCTGAGGACATGGACTTTGTCCATTTTGTTTTGTTTTTTCATTTTCTTTTCTATTTAAAATTGATACATAATATTTATACACATTTGTGGGATATATGTGGATGGTATTTTGATAAATGCATATGAATTGTAATAAGCAAGTCATGTTATTCAGGATATCCATCACCTTGAACATGTATCATTTCTTTGTATAGGAAACATTTCAAATCTTCTCTTCTAGTTATCTCAAAATATACAATATATTATTGTTAACTACAGTCACCTTACTGTACTATATACACTAGAACTTATTCCTTTTATCTAACTTTATATTTGTAACCATTAACCAAACTTTCTTCATCATTTTCCCTGTTCCAACGCCCTTCCCAATCTCTAGTAATCATCATTCTACTCTCTACCTCCATGCAGAGAAAAGGAAATTCTTACACACTGTTGGTGGGAATGTATATTATAATGTAAACAATATGCAAGTTTCTCAAAAAACTAAAAATAGAACTATCACATGAACCAGCAATTTCACTACTAGGGATATTTCCAAAGAAAATGAAAGATATGTTTGCACTCTTATGTTTCTATTGCAGCACGATTCACAATAGCCAAGATACGGAATCAACCTAAGTATCCATCAGTTGATGAATAGATAAAAAATAATGTGGCATATATACACAATGGAATCCCATTTTGTTTGTTTTATTCACTACCTAGTGCCTACAAACTTAAGAGACTGAAGATTGCTTGCAAGAATTGGTAGTTTAATAAACATTTTCTTCATGAATCATAAAATCAAAAAATTTTCATGTTTTTACAAGTGGTGTAGAAGAGTGATATGACTACTAAACTATATTTTTAAAAAGATTTATTGAGATATAATTGACATATAAAATTACATACATTTGAGGCATACAACTTGATATTTTGATATCCGTATACTTTGTGAAATGATCACTACAGTCAAGCTAGTTAACACATTTATCACCTCTACGTTGTTACCATTGTGTGTGTATACCTGTATGTGTTTGTGTGTGTGTGTGTGTGTGTGTGTATACCTGTGTGTGGGGGGGGGACGGGGGATGATCAGATTGAATTGAAGCTATATCCTCTCAGGAAATTACAAGTATCCATACAGTATTGTTAACTATCATCAATTATGCTGCACACCAGATGTCCAAAATTTACTCATCTATTGCTAGGTTACTGAAAAATGACCATGTTTAGTGACTTTCCTTCAACCTGGTCTTGATCTCAAATTGTGAACTGAAGTTTTACCTAGGAGATTTGATGCTGAAACTCAGAAAGTTCAGCTTGAATGATGCAATTATTAAGCTCTTAGAGTCTTAAGATAACTTTATTTAAACTATATTAATCTTAGATCTTTTTTTGGCATTTTTAACATTGTATTTCATCTCTTTGTTTACAAGTGTATTAGACAGTGGAGTCTTAGAATAAAATAATCATATTTGTTTTATTTTTGAATAAATTTACTGTAGCACATGCTTAGTGCTTAATATTTACTAAATGAATAAATGGATGAATGAATGAAATGTACAAAAGCATACATAGTTGAACAGAATATTTTTCTGTTTTATTCTCTAACTTGCAAATTATAAAACTTAATTTAATCAAGAACCCTCTTGGACATCTATGCAGTGTAAAGACAACTGGACTTGGAGTCTAGTTTTCTCTGTCTTATTATCCTAATTCTGTCCTTAACTTTCAATTTTATATTTTTGTTATGTCACTTAGCAACTCTAGGCCATTATTTCTACATGGGAATACCCCCATTACATTAATTCCCTATAAAAAGTAGGAATAAAAAAAAGAGTGTCAAATTGTTTTTTTAAAAAGCTTAGACATATGCTATGAAGCCTAATAAACATTATACCATTTTAAATAATTTTTATTTTTTTAAGATTATTTTAACCTTACTTAAGAAAAGTAAATAGTCTATATGATAGTTACCTACTACTGTCTCCCTTCTTGGTTAATGAGGTAATGGATGTGTTGGTTTATAATAAGGACTCAGTAAATGGTAGTTATCATTGTTATATTACCTATTTTACAGCCTACCCTTCCAAACTTGAAACTAAATTTCTCTCTTTGCTTAGTCATCATTCCAAAGGAAGGATGTTGTTTTTAAAATAGGTTAAGTATTCACACATTTCTTTTCATCTCAAAGGAACAAACCGGCTTCCTTTCAGAATATTGTAAAACTCTGAGTACACCTTTTTGATTAAAACTCCATTAACTTCCTACATCATGCTAAATACCCCTTCTTATTCCTTAGGGTCTTCACATGAAATCTAGGGTTCCCTTCTTATAATTTCATTTTCTTAGCACTCTCTCTCCTCGAAAGTTACCCTTGGCCCTTTCAGTGGGGAATGCAAAGGAAGTGTGATACTTTTCTTTGCAGAACTAGTGACCAACTGAAGGAAAAAAGAAGGTCAGTTAGCAGTAAATAAGCAATACAAAAAGAATAGGTTATTTTAATTTTCAGCTTCTTGTTCTGATATTTTCATAGGAAAAAGTTCTAACCAAACACCTTAATCACAGAGAAGAAGATCAGATGTCACAGCACAAGCATGTAATATCTTAGCACACATAACCATCATATAATTCTACAAGGAGCTCAAGGGTTTATAGTAGTCAATTGTTTCACATTCTGAGAAACTGAAGAACCCAAAAATGTATAGTAAGTAGTAAATTGCCTACTCACGAGGATATAACTCAAGGAATTTGCCCATGTCTGTTGAGGTGGTGATGTTGACCTGCTGGGGAGTAGTCTGGTCCATTTCATACTCAACAAATAATGCAAATAAAACAATCATGGCAATTTCCAGGACTATGGCCATGAGAGGGAATTTGAGCCTCATGTTTGTGGCAAAGGACAGAGGCACACTGAGAGCTTCACAGGCTGTGAGATGTTGATAAGAACAAAGGACTGCTCTGTGTGTGGAATTCGACTGCATGTTCAAGGCACCCCCATGACATCACAAGAAAAAAAAATGGGCAAGACTGGTTAAAATGCCCCACCCATTGGGGAAAATTATGCTGTGTAATCTAATTGTCATTCTAAGTGTTGATTTGAAGAATATGCAATGAAATTGTGAGAAGCTGGATGATGCCAATGATCTATTGCACAGGCCTCTAGAATCATGTTTAACTTAATTCAGTAGACATTTTTTGAGGGCTTATTGTATGCCAAACATCGTGGAAGGCTTTGTAGAAGGCACGAATCTAAAGCAAAATATAGAATTGGTCTATTCTTGAGAAAATTAAGAATCTAGCTGGGAAAACATAAATATAAGTGAATGATTATATAAAAACAAATATGTGATATAATAGTGGTTATAAAAGTATTATAAAACATAAATAAGGCAGTGACATTTTTTGCCTTAGCCCAAGAACAGTAGTATATAAAATAATACGGATATGAGAACTAAAAAATAAATAGGGTTTTGCAAGTAAAACAGATAGAGGGAATGGTACAAAGCTTGGAAGAACGTGGCATGTTTTGGAAATGGCAATTAGTCAGGCAAAGCTGGAATATAAAAGAGATGAGGAGAAAATGAGGAAGTGGCAGAGATAATGTTGTAATGGAGGGGGCTGTGCTGTAAAGACCCTCACATTCAATACCAAGGATGCTAGATGTTAAATATTATCCATGAGCAATGGGGAATATATAGGACTGTAAGGAGCAGTTTTGTGTATTTGTGAAGTTTTTCTTGACTCCTTACTCTGGTTTACACAAGTGTAAATATAGAAGTAAACAAATGAGTTGTGATATATGTTTTAGTCTTAAATAGGAAGAGAGTAAACTTAAACAGGAACATAACTAGATAGTCAATTGTAAATAAGATGCTAAGCAATTCAAAACTACCATATGGGTGGAAGAATTCTTGTCTCCACTTTGGAATTGTTCTCATAGCAGAATAAATCTATTTTTGAGAACTAAGAGCTACCAGTTAAATGAAATTTCTTTCATGAAATCCAATTTCCAAAAGATTCTATGTAGAATCTGAAGAGAGAGTGCAAATGACTGCCAAGACAATGTCTACATTATAACAAATGTGTATAAAACAAAGCAGCAATATTTTTTTGGTATTTCTGGTATGATTTTTCAGTAGAACATGATGTATTAGGACTAAATGATCTCTGAAATTTGATAAATATGCAAATACTTTGAAAAATGACTATTTCCGTTGTTCCTTACAGGATAGTACAAGAGGAGTGGGTTCACATTCTTAGCTATGAAAATACTTGTGTACATCTCACACTTTAATTTTTGGTTTTGCAGTAGCCTAAAGAGTGTTCATGAGAACTCCAACAAACCCTAAATGAAAAGTATATATGTTAATAAACTATACATAAACTTGTGAAAACCAAGTATCAAATTATAAATTGCAAGAACATCTAAACAATATCATAAATCAGTTGTTTTAAACTCTTTAACAAAAAGTGACACAATATATTAAATAACCCAAGACCGATGGCAACTCTCTTTCTCTGGGACATTTGCAGCAGCTCAGCAACCACTCAACACATGGGGAGTAGACGATTCTACTCATGTAGGTAATGGGACTGTGCTAGGACTTCACTTCAGTCTGTTTAACTCTGAGGAATTCAGATTTGTTGCCTTCTTCTGAATGTAGACATTTGCATTGAAATAAGCTGCATCATTGTACCATCGGGAAAATATTTCTCTTGTTCAGCTCTTCACATAAGCTTCTCTTTCTAATTGGAAATCTTTGCACATATTCTCTGCCCCCTATCCTGTATACATCATCCATCATTCTTCAGTTTTCAGATAAAATGATACTTCCTCAGAAAAACTTTCCTTGATCTCCTACCTTAAACCAGGTTTCCACTATTATTTCTCATTGAATTGTGGTCTTTGCATTTAGTACAGTTGGCTGTGTGTGCTATATTTATGTAGTGTTTGTATTTACCTATAATTTTTAAGAATGGCCGTTTCCCTTACTGGCCTGTTAGCTCCAGGACAGGGGCTGTGTCTCTTTTGCACCTCATTTGTTATCTAGAGTGAATAATACCATGTCTAGCACAATATATAATTGATAAACATCATTTGAGTGAATTGAATTAAAGGCAGACTTGAAGGGAGAAACACTCAGCAGGCAGGTCAGCGGTGTGAGGAAGGGAGAGAGGAATAACTTTAATACATTTCATTTTAAATTATAAATATGTAGAATCCTGACAGTAGCTTTCATACTGCTGTCTACTGTCTCATTACTTCCATCAATGAGGGCTTATCATCAGGTTCTCTGTGCCTGGAACAAAAAGGAGGATCAAGCTCAAGTCATGAAACTTGGGAGGGTCAAATTCCTGGCAGACCAACACATGGTAGTGTGAACCTGAAGATTTCAACAGCATTTTAGAAATCTCTCTCCTGACAGTTCTGAATCACAAAGGCAATAGGCTGAGGGTGTGGGTGTCCTAAAGTGGAAATGGTTTATCTGTTGCCTTGTCTGCCTATGAAACTGCAGAATGGCTTTCTTCTAGTGCCTTCAGTAAATGAGGTAAAATCGGAAAGAATCATGAATAGGTAAGCCATGTTTTTGTGCAAACCAAACCAAACAAAATAAAACACACACCATGCCAATGAACTTTCAAGTTCCCAGCTAAATACACAGATACAAATGAAGTATTCCTGGGTTAATGCAGGAGCCAGTGGGCTACATGGGATCTCAGACTGATCTTCAACTTGCTGTGCGACTTTAGGAAATAAACATAATTCCTTTATCTTATTTTCTGATTATATGTAAAATGTAGCTAATTGTTATTATTGGGAATTTTAATTTGAGTTTGCTTATTTTTAATAGCAAAGAATAATTGAAAGAGGACCACCACTGTTTTAAATTGTCTCTTTCTCTCTACCTTTGTGTATCTGTAATAGTGGCGGGAGGGTGGGAAGTATTTAGGAAGATGAAGGTACTAAAATATTTTTAGCATTTTCTGTTCTGGACACTGTGGTAGGTGGCTATTTACCCACTTTGTTTAGTCCCACTGCAGTTTTACACACACACACACACACACACACACACACACATATTATTATTATTATTTTGAGACCGAGTCTTGCTCTGTTACCCAGGCTGGAGTGCAATGGCACGATCTCAGCTCACTGCAACCTCTACCTACCGGGTTCAAGCGATTCTTCTGCCTCAGCCTCCCAAGTAGCTGGGATTACAGGTGTGCACCACCATGCCCAGCTAATATCTGTATTTTTAGCAGAGGCGGGGTTTCACCATGTGAGTCAGTCTGGTCTCAAACTCCTGATCTCAGGTGATTCGCCCACCTTGGCCTCCCAAAGTGCTGGGATTACAGGCATGAGTGTCTCACACTGCGCCTGGCCTGCAATTTGATATATTTTTATTCTTTGCATGCATAACTTGCTCCATTGGTTTACATATGTAGCTACCCAAGCACCCAACTGCCGTACTGGTATGAGGTCCAGTGACTCTCTTTTGGTGCTTCTTTCATGTTTTCCTTCCAAAAAGAGACCTTGGGTTTTATTTAGTCTAACAGGATGGCCAGTCTAACTTGTCTTCCTTCCCAAGTGGGGAGCAGACACAAACATTTCTTGCTGCCATAGCGGATGTGGTGCAAAAAAGGTCTTTCTTCCCACAAAGGCTCTTTGCACTTTCTTGGGTCTATGGTGGATGGCCCTGTGCCCTCACGAAGGGCTTTCTTTCCAGCTACCTGGTGGCACTCAGCATTATTTCACAGAACACTGGAACTGAGCAGGGTTACAGGACCAGACAAATCAGCACCAGCATTTCCAAAGCAGCTGCCCAAGGCTTTGGAACTTGTCTTAAACTAGGAATGTTTAACATTTTTGTGCTATGGACACTTTTGGCACAAGCCTCTGAATCTCATATCAAAATATATTTTAAATGCACAAAATAAAATACATAGGATTACCAAGGAAACCAGTCATAGTGAAATACACTGACCAAATACTGTAATGTAAAAGAAGAACCGATAGCCAACTATCTGATATAGGTGCTTCTCTGTAATGAATGAAATAACATCTAGTGGCATGTCTAATAGTTTCCAAGTTGGAGTAATGAGTATAAATAATATTTTGAGATACCTGTGATGTCTATTAGTGACAGTTATCAATATTATTAATGATGCTGTTGTTTATTTTCTATATTCACAATAGAAAAAATATTAAATTTCAGTTAAATGTATTCTTGTTTCCCTATTTAAATATATGGACCACCTGAATTACATTGATAGAACCCCAGTTTAAAAACACCTGTTTTAACTATAGCCAACAGCTTTATTTCACTTTTTCTTTGGTCTCAGGAGGCTTCCTATCATTTCTTGCCCCTGGTAATTCTCACGGACATATCAGTTTATGTCAATGAATTGTGTTACTTCTGAATTCCAGGGAGACGTTGAAGAATATCAGTCAAAAATCTTCCTAGGAGGCCCCTGTATTCTTTAGACAAGTTGATTTTTCACCTTTCCTGTGATTAACTTTGCAGAAGAAGAGCTACAGCGCCTCTGAAGTGATCTTTAGCAAAGACAACAAAACTAACTTCTCCAAGTTAAAAGAGAACTCTACGGACAGATGATAGGCTTAAGGCTCAGAGAGTTTCAGCAACTTGTTCAATGTTGCACAGGAGGTAGATAGCAGAGCCAGAATGAATACAGGTTTGCCCAGTTTCCTAAATTGTACTTCTTTCTGCTATACCATATTGTTTTTCTTTTTATAACCATTTATTATTTATTTATATGGCTACATAATTGCTTGCACCAAGATATCTCATATACTCCATACTGTTTTTCTATGTGAGATAACATGCTCACACTGATCTCAAGGTGCTGACAATATCAAAGAAACTTCTGAAACATAAAAAGGGAATAAAAAATTTTAGAACTATTTTCTGTTTGCAGTTTTTTATTTTACTTTAGCTTG